TTGCTGTCCAAAATACGATGTCCAAAATGTGTCCGAACTCTGTCCGCCCTGTCCATCACATCCGAACTCGTCCGATTGCTGTCTATGAATAATAACAAGCAGGCCCGCCCTTCCGCCAAACGAACTTGCCAGCTCCGCTTCGCTCCGCCGGCAACTCCGTTCGGCAGGTGCCGGGCCTGCTTGGCCTGCCACGCGATTTGCTGTAGAACGTAATCAAATGGTGTAACGGGCCTTCGGCCCGCAAAGCCCGGCGTCCTTAAAATTTGCCCCGCACACACGAGAAAGGGATGTAACGGTGAAACACCGCGACTACAACCCACCCTTCTGCTTAGAAAACGTTTTTTGGGCTGGGGGGAGAGGGGTTTCTTACCTCTTTTGCGGTTTTGGGCCTTCTTTTACATTTTATTGTTCACTACAGCAATTTTTAACTTATTTTCGTCAAACAGACCCTCTAGCGCCTAAACGATTAGAGATAGAGCAAAACGGACGAAATGTTCGTCCATAGGGCTCTACTTTGACCAAAAGATATTTTTTTCTGACTTTTTTGACGTACCTTATTTTCTCTGATACCCCCTTTTAGCCCTTTAGGGGTGGTTGCCAGGATTTGCCGTAGGCGTTTCGTTCTCTAGGAGTGGACCTTAAGATACCCTGAAAACTTCAAGTCTCTAGCACATCTCCTTCTAGTGGAACAGACAGACAGACAGACAGACAGACACGAGGTCGTTTGCATAAGCCCGCTGGATAGCTTTTTCAAAGCAGAAGGGCGGGCTAAAAATCGTTTTAACAAAACATCGCTAGCAGAAGCGAGTCCGAAATGGACAAGGCATGCTTAACATTTATCCAGGTGAGCAATGTCTAGTAAAAGTAGGCAGGGCCAATTTTTATTTATGCACGGTACACAAAAAACACGGAATCCGAGGCGTGACAAAATTGGAAATTTTAATTTTTAAAGCAGGAAATCGACTTTTAAGGCATCCCCTCGATTTCGAGCATCCAAAGCCTGATTAAGAGCCGCTCTGCTCTGATTCCGAGGTAATGAGCTCGTAATCCGGGAATCGTCTCTCGAAATCCGGGAGCCGTTTTTCGGAATCGGGTAAAAGGTGACTCGGTTTTAGAGACACGTTTACCCGATTTCGGGATTGGTAGCTCGGAATTAGGACAACCTCGGAAATCGAGATTTCCGCCTCAGAATCCGAGTTTTTTAGCCCGCCCTTCTGCTTTGAAAAAGCTTTCCAGCAGGCTTATGCAAACGACCTCGTGTCTGTGTGTCGGTCTGTCTGTGTGTCTGTCTGTCTGTTCCACTAGAAGGAGATGTACTAGAGACTTCAAATTTTCAGGGTATCTTAAGGTTCACTCCTAGAAGACGAAACGCCTACGGCAAATCCTGGCAACCAACCTTAAGGGGATGAAAGGGGGTATCAAAGAAAAGGGGGTAGGTCAAAAAAGTCAGAAAAAAATATCTTTTGGTCAAAGTAGAGCCCTATGGACGAACATTTCGTCCGTTTTGCTCTATCTCTCACCGTTTAGGCGCTAGAGGGAGTTTCTATCAAGAAAGTGGCCCAAAAATAAACAAAACCCTGGCAACCACCCCTAAGGGTGTGAATGGGGGTATCCAAGGTTCCAAAATTCTTCCAAAAAGTATTTTTAGCCCGCCCTTCTGCTTTGAAAAAGCTATCCAGCGGGCTTATGCAAACGACCTCGTGTCTGTCTGTCTGTCTGTCTGTCTGTTCCACTAGAAGGAGATGTGCTAGAGACTTGAAGTTTTCAGGGTATCTTAAGGTCCACTCCTAGAGAACGAAACGCCTACGGCAAATCCTGGCAACCACCCCTAAAGGGCTAAAAGGGGGTATCAGAGAAAATAAGGTACGTCAAAAAAGTCAGAAAAAAATATCTTTTGGTCAAAGTAGAGCCCTATGGACGAACATTTCGTCCGTTTTGCTCTATCTCTAACCGTCTAGGCACTA